CGGGGAATGTGCGGCGGCGGCGGCGGCGGGGAATGTGCGGGCCTCGAGCCCGGCAGCAGCCTCCAGAGAGCAAGGGGTCGGGGAAACAGCCCTGGGGAAGGGGGCAATGGTGTGTGAGGGAAGAAAGCGCCCCCAGGGGGCAGAGGCGCGTAGTGGGGAGGAATGGAGTAGTTGGGGGGGGGGGAGGATAACTTTTTGGGGAAGGGGTCAGTGAGGTGGAGCAGCTCTGGGGGAAGAGTCTTGTGAGGGGCAGCAGCAGCCTCCAGAGAGCAAGGGGTCGGGGAAACAGCCCTGGGGAAGGGGGCAATGGTGTGTGAGGGAAGAAAGCGCCCCCAGGGGGCAGAGGCGCGTAGTGGGGAGGAATGGAGTAGTTGGGGGGGGGGGAGGATAACTTTTTGGGGAAGGGGTCAGTGAGGTGGAGCAGCTCTGGGGGAAGAGTCTTGTGAGGGGCAGTGCGGGGTGAGAGGAGATCTGGAGGGCATTGGGAGATTGCAGTTTAAGGGGAGGGTGAAGAGCAGCTCTGGGGGAGGTTGCAGGACAGTGCATATTACTTGGAAAACTATTGATGGATCTTATGTATATTATTCTGTTACACGTAGTCAACCCAAAGGTGTTAAAAGTGCTTGCTTAGTGAGTTTTTCACTACAAGTGTAGCCTAGATGCTGGTGCATGTGCTTGAGCTTTTCAGTGTCTCAAGGTCTCTTGTTTATTTGTCTAGAGTGTGATCATGTTTTGGCTAATAACAAACACAATTATAAATGCAAGTAGAGACTCATCACAATCATTGGCCTTCTGCTAAGGGCAGTTTCTACCATTTGGGGCACTGGGGATACTGTTGCTTCTCACATTTGGTCTTGTTGCACTGTCATTCTTTTCAGACAACAGTTACTATGTTTGACAGCTATCACTACTCCCTGGATTGTTTTAAAGCAGGCGTGGGGAACCTGAGGCCCTGGGGGCGGATGTGGACTCCAGCTTGCTTGGATACGGCCCCCAAGTCTCAGGGCTCCCCCCAGCACTGGGGAGCCTGTGCTGGCGCTCCAGCCTCCCCCCGCTCTCCGCTGCCCACCTGTGGGGCTGAAGCACACAAAATCTGTTAGGGTGGGTCCCCTTAGGCTCTGGTGTGCAAGGAGAATGCGGGAGTGTCTCCTCAGTTGGATCTGGGGGCCACAACATTGAGAGTTGTTTTTGTTTGTTTTGAGGGTTTTTTTGGTTCTCATTTGTGTGCAGTCCCTGACTGATTTATTTCCTGTTGGTCAGCTGCCTAGACCCAAAAAAGGTTTACTACCCCTGTTTTAAAGTTAAGCAGTAAAAACTCAGATTTTAATGTTTGGGATTCTGTATCAGTTAGATAAGAGAGCTGACATTTATTACCCTTATCAGCATTGATTGCAGGAGGATTCCCTATGTGACAGCAGCTAGTAAAATATTAACTTTCTTTTCTTGGCTTTACAGGTGCAAACAACCAGAAGAGCAGATCCTAATGAGTTACGGAACATATTTTTGCAGGTAAACTGATTTATTTGATTGACAGTTATTTCATTAACTCTTAAAATACCTTGACATTTTTGTATGCCAAAGTATGGAACACACATTTTATATTGCACTCAACAATCTTGCTTTAAAGATCAATGTGATTTTTAAAGTTTACATTGTTTATTTTGAAAGGCCCTTTTGGGTTTGAGTGGCATTAAGGTAAACTGACAGGCTACGTCTAGATTGCATCCCTTTTTTGTAAAAGGGATGCAAATTAGACGTATCGCAATTGCTAATGAAGCGGGGATTTAAATCTCCCCCACTTCATTAGCATAAAAATGGCTGCCGCTTTTTTTTGGCACGGAGCTTTGCCGGAAAAAAGCGCTAGTCTAGACGCGGATCTTTCGGAAAATAAAGCCTTTTCCGAAAGATCCCTTATTCCTCTTAAAATAAGGGATAAGGGATCTTTCGGAAAAGGCTTTATTTATTAAATCCTCGCTTCATTAGCAATGGCGATACGTCTAATTTGCATCCCTTTTACGAAAAAGGGATGCAATCTAGACGTAGCCATACTGAAACAAGTTATGGCTTAACACTTCTTTCCATCAAATATTTTTTAAATAATTACAATATTTCCTCTATAACACAAAAACAAACTCCCAAACCCTAAGATGCCTTATTTTTTCAATGAATGCTTCTCAAGAATATATAAAAAAATCTATCTGGAAAGTGGTTTTATACCGTAGATTTTCATGATTTTCTTATAAAAATGTTGGATTATAGTTAGGAGTTTCAAAAAATCTACATCTCCTCAACATGCTGTGTTTGTGTGTGTATACCAGTCTGTTTACATCATATTAATTTCTTAGTCTAGGGTGCCCAAATTGGTATGTGTATATGGAATTATGAGAAACTTTTTTTCTCCCCTCTCTGATTTCACTAAAGCCACCATAAAGATAATTCTATAAGGAAAACAAAATTATGAAAGGAAGTCTTTGTAAAAAGATTGACATGCTCAGATGTGGGGCAGTGTGTCCTTGATTGTGTCCTTTAATATTTTAATTTTATTCTGTGTAAAAGAAATATTTCTTTTACATTCAGTAATTTTTGAGTAGCGTAAAACACTTTAGCTAGACTATAGTAAATGAATAATTATAAATTAAGGTGTTCCACTGGAAATAATACAATAATAACACAAATTCCCATTATGTCACCCTTCACATATGACCTTTGACCCTATATTATCAAGTTCCCAGAGGGGATAAGGAGCCAAGAGATCCTTTTGGATTACATCTAGCCATCACATTTTTTTCATAGATAGTTAATTGGAATACTCTAAACATTGAAATGTTACATTTGAATGATAGTGTAATTTTTTGACATCTGATATACCATGTAAAGATATTTTTCCAGCATAAAAGTGTACATGGGCAGTATGGTATTTAGTCTTAAAGCAGGGATGGGGAACCTAAGGCCTGGGGGCTGAATGCAGCCTCCAGCTTGCCTGGTTCTGGCCCCTGAGGTTCAGGGATCTCCCCCAGCATTGGGGAACCCACGCTGGCCTTCCAGGCCCTCCACTGCCCCCTTCTGGAGCTGGAGCACACAAAATCTACTAGCCTGAGCCCCCCTTGGCACTGATGCATGAGAGGAATGGGAAGAGTCATTTTTCTTCCCTCAGTTGGAGGCCACATCATTGAGGGTTTTTTTTAATTTTCACTTTTATGAGAGCCCCCAGCTATTTTTTTTCTGTGTGTCAGGGACTCCCAACCAAAAAGGCTCCCCACCCCGTCTTAAAGCATAAAATAGTTAAGTATTAATGTATTGAAGTACAAATACATATTAGATCTGTAAAAGCTGCTTTAATGACTTGTGGATTTCTGGTAGTTAAGCAGACCATCAAACTAACATTTTGCAAGTCATACACAAGACTTGAAACATGACTGGGTTGTTTTCTGATATTTGATGTGTTTCCCTTTTCACATAATCTTATTCTGTACAACTGGAATGCATTGCATAATGCATCTCATATGTGCTTTTTTGGCTTCTGTTATATTTTGAAGCAGGAATTTTTGTTGCTGATAATTAAATTTAAAATAATTTAATTCAAGTCATGTGTGTTGTTAGGAATTTTTGTTGCTGAAATAAATCAAGGGCATTAAATAATTTAATTCAAGTCATGTGTGTTGTATTTTTATCCTTAGCACGGTGCTAAATCTGTAAATTCTCCATATAAAGTTAAATATTTTCCTGGAAGGTGGGCAGTTTATTGGTTTTTTTAAATGTAGTAATTCCACGAGCTCTACAGCTGATATGCAAAAGATATAAAAAGCTGTAGGAACGTAAACATTTTAAATTGTGCTACTATTTAGAGGCTGTTATGCAACAAATTAAGGAAAAGTTACATATTAGAAAGAGATCTTTTGTTTCTTTCTGATAATTTGGCAAATTACGTGATTTTGAATCCTGTTTGTGCTATGTTGGAAGGTTATGAATAAACTTATTTATATATTTTTTTATCACAACAGAAACTCCCCAGACAAACATGAATGGGACCTTGTTGAGAAATACTGTTAATTTTACAACAAATTTCATGAGTCAGATATGTTGTGCTCTTTGCTTAAAATGCAAGTCTGTTCCATGTTCAAATTTGGCTTGCCTTGAAAATAGACATAAGTAACGATGAGGATCATGAAGAGGACTAAGTTCATGTTCACTTTGCACTGTAATACAGGGTGTCCTTATCTGTTTTCCTGTTCACATGATGCATTCTGCTAAATGTTATCATTCAGTTCCCATGAATATATTAGTGTGTATGCTGTACACATATTATCTGAATTGGTGAAGCTTTTGGCTTGCCTTGAAAATAGACATAAGTAACGATGAGGATCATGAAGAGGACTAAGTTCATGTTCACTTTGCACTGTAATACAGGGTGTCCTTATCTGTTTTCCTGTTCACATGATGCATTCTGCTAAATGTTATCATTCAGTTCCCATGAATATATTAGTGTGTATGCTGTACACATATTATCTGAATTGGTGAAGCTTATTTTAAGATTTTATTGTTTAAATTATTAAAACGTTAGCAGCAAATCTTTTTATTTTTAGACTATAAAAGCATAAAGGAACAAACAAAGGAGAAGTTGAAATGGAGAGCAGGAGAGACACAAATCTCTTTAGGACAGTTTTTATCTAATTTCCTAGTGAACCTCAATTTTTTTCCCCAGAGGAGATACAGCTGAATGTGGGAAGTATCTTGTTGAATGAGTCTCTATCTGTTGAACCCAAAATGGAACTGAACCATCAAGAAAGATAAAGAAACATGCTACTCTTTTCTGTTTATTTAAAATACAGTGCCATTTTTCCATTAAAAGTCAATTTTCCCAAATCTGTTGCATCTGATTTAATAAGAATTGTGAGAGGGATACCTGTGAATTGTTTCTTTTGTCAAGCATAAAGTTTGGAGGACAAGAAGAAATATTAATTTAATCTGAAAACCAATATGATGCCATTCAACTGTATGTTAAAAAAACAGATTGTGCTTGGCTTAGACATTATGTTGTGGTGATTGAAAACAAGATGTTCAGATTAATCAGATACTAAGTTTTGAATTATGTTTTTTGTGTGTTGTAAGAATTTTCTATTGCAAGGAAATTATTTGGAAATGAAGAATCCATTTTAATTGTAGTTTAATGTGTAATAAAGTAAATTTATTTTAGTTTTGGAGTAAATTAACTTCTTAACAAAGTATATATAATTATGTGATATATCTTTAATCAAACCTTTTATTTGTTTCATGCTAAGAGATACTTGCCTTATAGATTATATCACCGAAAGGTCACTTGAGGCCAGATACTATGAATTTATAAATACATGCCAAGAGTGAAAGGCTTACCTACTTTGTCACTTCTTCTTATGCTGGATTTTGGCCAGCACCTTTTCTAAATATCATGACCTTCTCATTTGGAGCTGAGAATAATGTCAGATATTGCTTTATTTATTTGTGTAAAAATAAATTCCAATAGTTTCTTTATTATAAAATAATCCACAATTTAATAAAAGTACTGTTGTTTGATTAGTTTGTGTCTAATGAAATAGGATAATTATGTTTACAGTATTATATGCTTAAATACTTACTCTCTTTCATGTGCCCTTGACTGTGTGCTCCCTTTCTATAACAATTCTGCTGCTGCTGTTTATATTTTCAGTACCCTGTACATTCTGTGATTTTGCATATGCAGACTTTCCTGTGGAATGCTCTCTATCTCCATCAAAATCATGATCTATATTCTAAGTTTTCAGTATTTTAAAAACATTGTTTCTGGTACATATGTTTGGAAAGGAAACTTGACCTGAGTTTGCAAACATGCAGGAAGCCTGAAAAAATAGCTCTGATAAAGTGTGAACTATCCTGTTCATTTTAACGGAGTGTTAATTATTAAGTCTAAGACAACAGTTTATTGTTTGTCATGTGGTGAGTCCCACAGCTCCAGTCAAAATAAGGGTCTGTTTCGTTAGCTTTTGTACAAATGCTTAAATAGATGCAGTCCCTGTTTCAAAAACTTTCCAGTCTAAGACAAAGACACAAGTAGTTGTTAACAAGAAAATAGGAGATGATGGATGAAGATAATTAGGATAGGTTTGGAGTCATTTAAAGTTGTTTGTTATTTTAACTAGCATTATCCATCCTGTTGTGATGGTAGACATACACATGGCCTCCTCCCTCCCTGCAGTTCTCGGGGGTAGGGAGGCTAGGGCTGGCTCGGGCCACATGGTTGCCTGCCTTCCTGCTGCTCCAGGGCCCGGGATGCTGGAGATACATGGCCTCCTCCCTTCCCGCTGTTCCCGGGGCCAGGAAGGCTTGGGACAGCTCGGGCCGCAGGGCCTCCTCCCTCCCTATTACTCCCGGGGGTGGGGAGGCTTGGAGCGTGTTGCCTTTTCCCTCCCCACTGCTCTGGGGATGCTGGAGTTCTCACATGCTCTTCCCCTCCCAATGGGGGGGGGGGACACATGCACAGTGTGCTGCTCCTTCCC